CGGTCTGTTGAGAAGATAATAAAAGTATGCATTAAAATATATTAGGTTAAAGGAAAGAGCATGATATATTTACTAGTGTAGTATATTTATTGTATTATTTAGTACAGGTACTTATATAGTGCCGTCAATTTATGCAGTGCTTAACATATACATTGCACATTCACATCAGTCCCTAACCCTCAAGGAATGTACAATCTAAAGTCCCTAACTCACATTCATACATACACATACTAGGGACAATTTAGACGGGATCCAATTAACCTACCAACATGTCTTTGGGAGAGTAGGAGGAAACGGGAATACCCGGAGGAAAACCACACAGGTACAGGGAGAACATGAAAACTCGAGGCAGGTGGTGCCATGGTTGGGATTCAAACCAACGACCCTAGTAATGCCAGGCGGAAGTGCTAACCATTTAGCCCCTGTATAGTATAGGTAAGAAAGATAATATAAAGAAGACTTAAACAAGGTTTTTAGAAAACAGTTAACCTCTTAGAGATGGGCCTTTCATTAAATTATATATCTCAGCTTAAAATGTGCAAAAAGAGGACTAAAGTCTCGGGCCATATTTGTGATTATCATGAATACCTATAAGGCTTCATTAACACCCATCATAGGACCTGATCTAACAACCAGTTCATCATGGTAGTGTTGGTGAGAAGTAAGGATGAGATGTCAATAGCCCCACCACTCTTTGGAAGCTAATGAGCCCTAAGGCTGAAAATCATGGAGCATCATAATTCTATGAATACGTTAAAAGAGTTTAATTGTTCCCAGGAAAATCAAATCTCTTTAAATGTATTCTTTGTTGTACTGGAAATTAGAATTAGCCCTGGGTATGAAGCACACATGACCAAATTCTGCAAGGAAACAACTGGGGCAAGTAAAGGATAGCTACAGGTTGTAGATGACTTTACAATGTTTTATAATAGGATTGACATAGGATAAACAGTCCACAGTTCACAGATATTGTCAAACACCAGTTCCTCTGATAGTGCCAGGGTTGACATCCCAAGCCAAAATGTATATTTTTGGTCACCTAACTTGACATGTGCTTTTTAGTTTTATTTTCAATTTAACAGTGCAGATATATATAATCAAATCTGGGATCAAAACATGCATTTACCATCTTCATACCATGTCAGGCATGGTAGCCTTCTCATGCGTAGACCTATAATATACATTAAAAGTACCTGGCAAATTCCTAATTCAGATCTGCTCAACTGGGTCGTGCTGATGAGGTGAAGTGGACAGGAAGTTCCTTTTTTTAATCATCCACATTTAACTGGTTGATAAATTCAATGAGATCTCCTTTATATGAAAAAGATTTTTTTGACTGTGTTAGGTTATGCTATATAGCTAGATTAGTTGCAAAGAGGAGTTCCTATTTACAGTTTGCTTCTCTACATAGTGCATTGTTACCTCTCTGTGCAGTTAATGCTCTTTAATAACTTTATAGGCTTTCATATCATAATAAATTTATGTTTTATCTAAAAACACCGAATTCTGAGTTTCAGATAAGAAAAGAATACGAGAAAATTGTATTATTATAATTGTGCAGGATAGCTTCATTCTGGACTTTACCATATGCAATTATTTCAGAGATTAGGACATGGCGCCAGAGATCAGACATCAAACCTTTCAGGTTCCATCTTTTTTTGAGCCAGATAAGAGTTTTAGTCTTGGGTAAGTGCTGGAAACGTACTGCAGTTGATGTTTCCCTGTTACTGTTGCAGGCAACCATTTGTACCCTCTCTGTGGGCCAATAAAAGTCAATACAAGTCTAGTTAAAGATGAATATGTAGGATTTGGACTATTATTTTCAAATATATTGCTGTACATGTCAGATCTGATAAAACCAGATCATGAAATCTTCAGCAATCCTGTCCCAGACACACTACAACTTACAGACTGACAGCAAAGAGAGCAACAAACAAGGAATTAATGCTAACAAATAGTATATGAAATTCTTTAGGGTACACGCCAGTCACCGTTGAAAATTAAAGGAACCCCGTCTGGAGCTCCTACAGAAAATGCTAGTTGTCTGGGTTCAATTTCCTATGAGTAACTGACCTGAAACAAACGTACTGCTAGTGAAAGTCAGAACTTGGATCTGCATTCTTTTGATTCAGAAACAGAAAGTTTATTGCTTTGCCAGAATACATTTTACTGTACCAAGGACTCTACGTAGCACCTCATGTAGGTATTCCATGATCTCTGGAGTATTTGAATTTACTATTAGCCAGCAGACACTGAAGCTACAGAAAGATGGGTGCTTTGCTGCAGACTTCAAACAGAACAGGAATGGCCTACATGAACAACATCTAAAGTAGGACTCCAGGCTATTAGCTGATCATGCAGTTGAATTATATAACCTCTGGTCCACAGTGCTGCTTTATCTGGCAGCAAGGACTAGGCTACTATCACTGCTCTTGTCCTACACTTCCTCTCCTCCTCTCAAGCTGCTAAGAACTGTATGTAGCCACAAGAAGAGGAGAGCATTAGTGCTCTGCAGGACTGTATGCAGCCACAGGAAGAGGAGAGCACTGGTCATCTGCAGGACTGTATGCAGCCACAAGAAGAGGAGAGCACCGGTTATCTGCAGGACTATATGCAGTTACAGGAAGAGGAGGGCACTGGTCATCTGCAGGACTATATGCAGCCACAGGAAGAGGAGGGCACTGGTCATCTGCAGGACTATATGCAGCCACAAGAAGAGGAGAGCACCGGTTATCTGCAGGACTATATGCAGCCACAAGAAGAGGAGAGCACCGGTTATCTGCAGGACTATATGCAGCCACAAGAAGAGGAGGGCACCAGTTATCTGCAGGACTATATGCAGCCACAAGAAGAGGAGAGCACTGGTCATCTGCAGGACTATATGCAGCCACAAGAAGAGGAGAGCACCGGTTATCTGCAGGACTATATGCAGCCACAGGAAGAGGAGGGCACTGGTCATCTGCAGGACTATATGCAGCCACAGGAAGAGGAGGGCACTGGTCATCTGCAGGACTATATGCAGCCACAGGAAGAGGAGAGCACCGGTTATCTGCAGGACTATATGCAGCCACAGGAAGAGGAGGGCACTGGTCATCTGCAGGACTATATGCAGCCACAAGAAGAGGAGGGCAATGGTCATCTGCAGGACTATATGCAGCCACAAGAAGAGGAGGGCAATGGTCATCTGCAGGACTATATGCAGCCACAAGAAGAGGAGGGCATTGGTCATCTGCAGGACTGTATGCAGCCACAAGAAGAGGAGGGCAATGGTCATCTGCAGGACTATATGCAGCCACAAGAAGAGGAGGGCAATGGTCATCTGCAGGACTATATGCAGCCACAAGAAGAGGAGGGCAATGGTCATCTGCAGGACTATATGCAGCCACAAGAAGAGGAGGGCATGGTCATCTGCAGGACTATATGCAGTTACAGGAAGAGGAGGGCACTGGTCATCTGCAGGACTATATGCAGCCACAGGAAGAGGAGGGCACTGGTCATCTGCAGGACTATATGCAGCCACAGGAAGAGGAGGGCATTAGTCCTCTGCAGGACTGTATGCAGCTACAAGAAGAGGAGAGCACTGGTCATCTGCAGGACTATATGCAGCCACAAGAAGAGGAGAGCACCGGTTATCTGCAGGACTATATGCAGCCACAAGAAGAGGAGAGCACCGGTTATCTGCAGGACTATATGCAGCCACAAGAAGAGGAGAGCACTGGTCATCTGCAGGACTATATGCAGCCACAAGAAGAGGAGAGCACCGGTTATGCAGGACTATATGCAGCCACAAGAAGAGGAGAGCACCGGTTATCTGCAGGACTATATGCAGCCACAAGAAGAGGAGAGCACCGGTTATCTGCAGGACTATATGCAGCCACAAGAAGAGGAGAGCACTGGTCATCTGCAGGACTATATGCAGCCACAAGAAGAGGAGAGCACTGGTCATCTGCAGGACTATATGCAGCCACAAGAAGAGGAGGGCACTGGTCATCTGCAGGACTATATGCAGCCACAAGAAGAGGAGGGCACTGGTCATCTGCAGGACTATATGCAGCCACAGGAAGAGGAGGGCACTGGTCATCTGCAGGACTATATGCAGCCACAAGAAGAGGAGGGCAATGGTCATCTGCAGGACTATATGCAGCCACAAGAAGAGGAGGGCAATGGTCATCTGCAGGACTATATGCAGCCACAAGAAGAGGAGGGCACTGGTCATCTGCAGGACTATATGCAGTTACAGGAAGAGGAGGGCACTGGTCATCTGCAGGACTATATGCAGCCACAGGAAGAGGAGGGCATTAGTCCTCTGCAGGACTGTATGCAGCTACAAGAAGAGGAGAGCACTGGTCATCTGCAGGACTATATGCAGCCACAAGAAGAGGAGAGCACCGGTTATCTGCAGGACTATATGCAGCCACAAGAAGAGGAGAGCACTGGTCATCTGCAGGACTATATGCAGCCACAAGAAGAGGAGAGCACTGGTCATCTGCAGGGACTATATGCAGCCACAAGAAGTGGAGGGCACTGGTCATCTGCAGGACTATATGCAGCCACAAGAAGAGGAGAGCACCGGTTATCTGCAGGACTATATGCAGCCACAGGAAGAGGAGGGCACTGGTCATCTGCAGGACTGTATGCAGCCACAGGAAGAGGAGAGCACCGGTTTTCTGCAGGACTATATGCAGCCACAGAAAGAGGAGGGCACTGGTCATCTGCAGGACTATATGCAGCCACAGAAAGAGGAGGGCACTGGTCATCTGCAGGACTATATGCAGCCACAAGAAGAGGAGGGCAATGGTCATCTGCAGGACTATATGCAGCCACAAGAAGAGGAGGGCAATGGTCATCTGCAGGACTATATGCAGCCACAAGAAGAGGAGGGCACTGGTCATCTGCAGGACTATTTGCAGCCTCAAGAAGAGGAGAGCACCGGTCATCTGCAGGACTATATGCAGCCACAAGAAGAGGAGGGCACTGGTCATCTGCAGGACTATATGCAGTGTGGGAACTCGCTTCAAGTGGTAGAGCTCTTCTTTAACACACAGCAACTCGCTTTCTTTTCAGGGCTTTTTTTTGCCCACTTTTATTTAAGAAAGTTCAAACAACAAAAATGCTTCCCACGCAGGGGTATCCACCATCAAGCAAAACAATATTCAGCCTCCTGGCTTGTACGCAGTTTTAAGTCTGCCTCCTGCAGACTCTTCCCAAAATATGTCACTAGCACACACCGCTAGTCTGGCTTCCACCTGACTCCAAGGCAGAGACCTCCCGTCTGCCGGGGTGGAACCCTCCTAACTGCTGGGGTGGAGCCCTCCTGACTCCTGTCTGCCGGGGTGGAGCCCGCCTGACTCCTAACTGCTGGGGTGGAGCCCAGAACTATGGTCAGGACTCTATAAAAAGGCCTGCACACACCTGTGCAATCACTGTGCTGGGGGTTCTCAAAACACGGACCCCGGATTGGAGATTTCATCCCTCCCAGATCTCTTCGAAATCTCCAGGCTCCAGATCCCAAAACAAACTTAATAAATAAATGAGGAAACCGAAAAGTCAGTTTCCTCTGCAATACATTAACTCTCTGGAGCCCCTCAACCTGCCTGGTTGAGAATCCAGGGTTTTCAACTTGAGTTTGACCGTGGCAGGACACTGCACTGCCACATATCCCCCCCCTTTGTTTTGACCCCGTAGGGGGCAGAACACACAAACCTAAAACCCTTCCTTTAGCCCTTCTGTGCCGACTATCACCTGTAAAGGTCCAATCCTGGCTGACTTCATTTTCATCTAAGGGAGACACTACTCCCTGCCCCAAGAGGTGACTTCCCCTGTCTCCCCTAACTTGGGCTCTACTACTTCCCCGTGCCTTTTTACGAGTGCGCTTCCAAAAGCGCGGTCTTTCTAATTTTCTTAAGACTATGCTAGTCCTTTTACCACTAGGGGGTTTACAAATCTCAGTACCCTTTGTAATCTGGGGTTGACTCCTAAGCTTTAAATGCCTGGTACCTGTCATATTACAACGTGCTCTTCAAATTCCTCTAGACCACCCCTTTTTGCTTCATTTACTTTTACAGGGGATATATTTTTAAACCCTTTAGTAACAGACATGGGCTCTTTTATTGTGGCATCAAACTCTTTTACCCTTAGTGAACAGACATGGGCTCAGTTTATTGTGGCATCAACCTCTTTTCACACCCCCTCGTTAAGCTTTGGGCCATTTCCCTTAGACCTTTCATTCTTATAACTTGGGCGTTTACTGGACCTTTGGAAAACTTTTCCAGAGTGACCTTCCTTACATAATTCTGCATTTGGGTAGACGACCCCAACCACATCACATATACATGTGTCCTCCGGCACTTCTGCCCAAACCTCCGTCCTGTCCAACAGTACTCTGGTGTGCCTCTCATACAGATTACTGCTATGAAGCAACCCAGCAATGCACTGAAAGACAATTTTCACCATCACCAACAAGGATGGTATCACAGAATTCCTATATTGACCATCCTTGTCTTGTATAGCCTGTAATACCCAGCTCCAATTAGCGGTACTCCGCTGTACCAGCTCCCCCGAACATGGAAGAGACAGCAAGGTATACACCGGCTGTACACTCCAGAAGGCTAACATTTCCATCAGCAGGTCTGTTATAAAAAAAAGACAGCCTGATTCCACACATAAGACCTTCCTGGAGACATGGAGACCCTCATTTACTGATGCCTCAGAGGTGGTGCTTCTTAAAGAGGCTTCCTCTCGGCTCAAGGTACCCAACACAATAACCTGGGGCTCTCCCAGAGCGTAACCAGGTGTGGGATTCACCCAAATACTCTGAGGCTCAGTGTCAATGAGCTCTTCCACGGCTTCTCTATGGATATCAGTTTGGTATACCACACCATTAACTCCTTTATGGGCTGTGAGCAAAACTTCTGCTGAGTGTTTATCCTCAATGGTGCCTTTTACCAGCAGCGAGTTAATTTTGGCAGCGACAGGAGCGCCCTGGACTAATAGCTGCTCCACAGTCACTCTATTCAGCACAGCAGAAGTTGTGTCCACTTCATTGTTGGCAACAGAGGTATCTTTTATTAACGCCAACAAGCTCGTTGCCCATCTGTCCCAGTCCATCGTCCCTGTGATCCCATCAGAGGTACTACGCAGTACCACTCCAACCGCTGAAGGAGACACAGAGGGACAGAGTGGCTCTGTATCAGACCCATTACCTATATCTTCATAATCCATATCACACTGAGAGACTCCTTTTCTAGGCACAGCAGGTTGCAATTTCACACTCTCACCACCGTGACCTAGTGGCGTGTCATTCACTACAAAAACTTTTGCATTAGTGGATTGCATTGACCCATCATTATGAATACATTCATACCTTTTAGATTCACCATTGCCACACTGAAATAACAAATTCTCATCACTCAATTCAGATACGCTCTGGTCCACCAGAGCAACAGCATAGTTATCCTGGGTTACCTTAACCACCGTTGCTAGGGGAGATAAACACATCCTGCTTAGTGGTCACCCCTACTACATTTAATTTAGCATTCTGTTTATAAGACATTGGTGCAACCCCAATATCAGTACTCTTCACATTTTTAACTGTTGCCTCCCCACTAAAAGCATTATACAGAGGCAAGTCTCTCTCACAATCACCAGCAGTGGGTTTCCCAACTGAGAGTATCCCAAATTTATAGCAGAGAGTCTCAAAGTCAGTCTCAATCATTGCATTAGTATCTCTCACATTTTTCTCAAAAGTACCAGTCTTACCCATCACTTCAACAGGCTTCACCTTCTTCACTTGAGTGCGTGGGATCTGGATCCTTTCTGTCATCTCCTCTCTTTGGCCAGCCAGTTCATCCATGCAGCTATAGGATGATACTGTGGCAGGCACTTCTGACTCCTTGGCACCCCCTGTAGGCACAACAGGTACTTCCTCACTGTTGCTAGAGGTGGCTGCCAACATTTTTAAACATGAATCTGGGCTTGCAGATGTAGACTTTTGCCCAGTAGCACTCTCATCAGTGGTATTCCATAATCGGGGGCAGGTAAAGATACCATGCCCAAACTGACCACATTCCAGGCAGGGTATGGTTCCACCGACAACCTTCTTGGGATATGGAACCACATCTCCCTTGTAGCCCCTTCTCCTGGTTGGCAGGCTTTCTCCTGTTGCTATGGGAGATGGCACTCTCCCAGCTGAACTTTGTGGGTTCCTCCAGTTGCGCTGAACTCTCATCTCTGTGTTGCCACAATCCTCGGCAGACGACACTTCTCTCACAGGGTCCGCAGGCCTGAAGTAACATGTGTTGCTATGGGCAACCACATTTTTCTGAAACTTTTGGGCAGCCTGCTGCTCCTTCCTGGAACTCCAAGCAGGCTTCCCAATTGCATACCCAGACCTTTGTCTGGTTCTGTCACCTTGCACTGGAAGCTGGGATAAAGGGCATTTGGAGACAGTGTGCCCCCATTCACTGCACCGCAAACAGCGCTCTTGCGGCAGTATCTTAGCCGAACTTCCAACACTGCATCCTCTTTCAGGCTTAGTACTCTGCACACAGAAAACTGGTTTCCTTTCAGCAGCATTGCCAGGGACAACAGCATGCACTTCCCACTGTGGCAAACTCTGTGCAGCCATATAGGGGGCTTGTTCTGGTGATAACAACCCCTCCACCCACAGGGCTCTGTCTCTCATTTCAGAAAAATCTTTCTTCTTAGAGTTTTGACCGCCCCATCTTTGCAGTCACTCCACAACACTTTTGCACAGTCCAGCAACACAATGGAGCACTGTCTCTTTAAGGAAAGTTCCTTTTCTCTGCAGGATATCCTCACCTGCACACACAGATAGTGCAGAGTCATGCACCAAACACAGTTCAACACATGAACTTACTTCCTTGCTGGGATCTCTAGTTCTGCCCACTGCATCCTCCACCATATGTGGGAACTCGCTTCAAGTGGTAGAGCTCTTCTTTAACACACAGCAACTCGCTTTCTTTTCAGGGCTTTTTTTGCCCACTTTTATTTAAGAAAGTTCAAAACAACAAAAATGCTTCCCACGCAGGGGTATCCACCATCAAGCAAAACAATATTCAGCCTCCTGGCTTGTACGCAGTTTTAAGTCTGCCTCCTGCAGACTCTTCCCAAAATATGTCACTAGCACACCGCTAGTCTGGCTTCCACCTGACTCCAAGGCAGAGACCTCCCGTCTGCCGGGGTGGAACCCTCCTAACTGCTGGGGTGGAGCCCTCCTGTCTCCTGTCTGCCGGGGTGGAGCCCGCCTGACTCCTAACTGCTGGGGTGGAGCCCAGAAACTATGGTCAGGACTCTATAAAAAGGCCTGCACACACCTGTGCAATCACTGTGCTGGGGGTTCTCAAAACACGGACCCCGGATTGGAGATTTCATCCCTCCCAGATCTCTTCGAAATCTCCAGGCTCCAGATCCCAAAACAAACTTAATAAATAAATGAGGAAACCGAAAAGTCAGTTTCCTCTGCAATACATTAACTCTCTGGAGCCCCTCAACCTGCCTGGTTGAGAATCCAGGGTTTTCAACTTGAGTTTGACCGTGGCAGGACACTGCACTGCCACAGCAGCCACAGGAAGAGGAGGGCACTGGTCATCTGCAGGACTATATGCAGCCACAGGAAGAGGAGAGCACTGGTCATATGCAGGACTATATGCAGCCACAGGAAGAGGAGAGCATTAGTCCTCTGCAAGACTGTATGCAGCCACAGGAAGAGGAGAGCACTGGTCATCTGCAGGATTATATGCAGCCACAGGAAGAGGAGAGCATTAGTCCTCTGCAGGACTGTATGCAGCCACAGGAAGAGGAGAGCACTGGTTATCTGCAGGACTATATGGAGCCACAGAGGAAGGAGAAAACTGTCTATCTGCAGGACTGTATACAGCCACAGGGAGAGAAGAGCACTGGCTATCTTCAGGATTGTAAGCAGTCACAGGGAGAGGAGGACCAATGCCCATCTGCAGGACTATATGCAGCCACAGGGATATCTAGTGGACAGCCCTATAGAGCTGCTGTGGATTGCAGGAAGGACTGGGCCTTCTGGGAGCAACTATGACTTGTGGGTGATACAGTCTCCAGACAGACTGAGCCTGTATTACTGATTGGCAATGGAACTACACATACCAGCATGACTGGGACTCTGTGGAGAGGAAAAGGAAGATCTGTTCTCAGACTCCAGACAGATGTGGTGAGGATACTGTGGGAGACAGACTGTGCTGTAAGCTGTTAGCAGAACCTGTCACCATTGCATCAGGAGAAATGATTGTTGGGGAGAACGCCCCTGCTAATGACTTAGTTGATCTACTGAAGAAGAACAGAGGGAGACAAGCTGTCACCCCAGGAGTTGGTGAGAGGCTGCTGGCTAAACCTACTGCACCCCATTAAACAGGAACAGTATTGTTTGCCTGGGATACACCTATACCCAGGTTAACTATCTTATCTTGAGCACTTCAACACCAGGGCTGGGCCCCAACATGCTGGCAAGCAGGGAAAGAGTTTAATACAGACTGACAGACAGTTACTCTAACATTGT